CCCACGTGTTTGGGTCGTCGCACGTAGCCCGGATGAGCTGTTCCATGGTCTGATTTGTCCGTTCTGTCTGTCCGTCTGTTTCGGGATGGTACGATGAACTAAACTGTAGTCGTGTGCCGAACTGCTGCCACAGGTTTCGCCAGAAGTTGCTGGTGAATTTCGTGTCTCTGTCGCTGATGATTGATGCTGGTATCCCGTGCAGTCGAACGACGGTAGAGATGAAGAGGCGGGCTGTTTCTTCGGCTGTGATTGATTTTTTGCAGGCTGCGAAGTGTGCCATTTTCGTCAGTCGATCGACGACGACCAGGATCGCGTCATTTCCACTCGCCCCGGCCGGTAACCCCGTGACGAAGTCCATCGTCACCTGCTGCCAAGCACGCTCTGGAGGTGGGATTGGCTGCAACTGTCCCGCCGGCCGCTTCCGTGTTGACTTCATGATCTGGCAAGTGGGACACGATGCCACGTGACGCTGTACGTCGGTCAACATTTCGGGCCAGTAATAATACCGCTGCAGCTGCTGCCGTGTTTTCTCTACCCCGAAATGTCCCGAGGTAACCCCGTCATGTGCCTCCTGTAGTAGTAATTCCCGTAGCAGTGTGTACCCTGGTACCCAGATGCGCTCGGTCCCGGCTTTTACGTAATAGACTCCCTTGGCTGCTGCGAACTGCTGCGAATTTCCTCCTGTGAAGAATGGGTCCGTTTGATATCCGTGGGTAAATAGTCCTGTCAGTAGCGGGCTGGTCTGGGCGAGTAGTATCGCGTGGATCTGGGCAGTGGGGCGGGTCAGTGCGTCGGCGATGTTCGAGGCTCCTTTTTTATAGGTGACTGTGTAGTGGAAGTTTGACTCGAGGAAATTGAGCCACCGAATCTGTCGTGGGTTGAGGTGGGGCTGTGCGCGGAGGTACTGTAGTGATCGGTGGTCTGTCCGTACTGTCACGTCTGCGCCGGTCAAGTAGCAGCGCCACACTTTGAACGCATGCACGATCGCGAGCATTTCGCGGTCGTGTATCGGGTAATTTCGCTCGGGCGGATGCAGTTTTCGTGACTCGTATGCGATAGGCTGTAGGCCGTTGCCGAAGTCCTGTAGCAGTACGGCTCCAATGGCGATGTCGCTTGCGTCTGTAACAACCTCGAAGGGGCGGTGTGGGTCGGCGATGCGCAGGACGGGCGGTGAACAGAGAACATTTTTCAGGGCAGAGAAGGCAGCATGCTCTTTCTCCCCCCACGTAAAATCGACCCCCTTTCGCAGTAAATCCGTCAGCGGGGCGGTCAATTGTGCCATGTCGGGAACGAACCGACGAACATAATTAACGAACCCTAAAAAACTCTGCAGTTCCGTGATGTTCGTCGGGGGACGCCACGCTTTTACCGTATCCAGCTTCTTTGGGTCGATTTCAACTCCAGCCTCCGAAATAACGTGCCCCAAAAATTCTAGCCTGTCCCGAAAAAACTCGCACTTAGAGCCCTTGGTGAGTAGCCGATGTTCCTCTAAAACTTTAAATACTGCTTCGAGATCCGCTAAGTGCTGCTGCTTGTCGCGACTGTAGACGAGGATGTCGTCGAGGTAAACTATCACGCATTTATCTAAGAGTGGCCTAAACGCCTCGTTCATGGTCATCTGAAATGTTGCGGGCGCGTTGGTCAGCCCGAAAGGCATCACCGTGTACTCAAACGACCCGTACCTAGTCCTAAATGCTGTCTTGGCGCAGTCCGATGGTTCGACCCGAATCTGATGGTAACCCCCCCGTAAGTCTATTTTCGAAAACACCCGTGCTGTTCGCAGTTGGTCGATTAGTTCGTCGGCGCGGGGAATGGGGTACCGCGACTTGACTGTTACCCTGTTGAGCGCTCGGTAATCGATGCACATGCGAAACCCTCCGTCTTTTTTCGGTGTGAACAGTATCGGTGCGGCGAACGGTGACGAACTTGGTCGAATGAACTGCTTTTCTAACAAATAATCTAACTGCTTCCTTAGTTCGTCGAGCTCGGGCTGTGTCAGTCTGAACTGGCGCTGTACAGTTGGCTGTGCCCCCGGTTCTAACTCGATCCTATGATCATGCGCCCGCTGAGGTGGCAGCCCTTCCGGTAAGTCGTCTGGAAAAATCCCCGGGTACCGTTTCAACAGTTCCTGTAGTTCGGGCGGTACTGCTGCCAACAGTTTCTGAAAATCGCTCGGCTGCTCCGTTTCTCTCACTAATGCTATATCTACTGCGTACACGTCAGCTCCAGCGGCGACAACCCGTTTCATCATGATGGCGTTGACGTGGACCGTTGAAGACTCGGGCGACTGCCAGCGAGGTAGCTCGACCCAGTTACCACTACTTCGCACGGTGCAGCTACCCGTCGTCCAGTCAATTCGCGGGTTATACCGTCGCAGCCAATCACGTCCCAGTAAAATATCGTGCCCATCCAGTGTCGTTGCGAGCATTTCCTGTGTAAATCCGAAATCTCCCCCGCAGCGGACTTTGACTCGCTCTACCTTTTCCCGTATGGCTAGTGGCGTGCCGTCGACTAAGCGTGCGTCTATCTCCGGTAAGCAACGGCTAAGTGTCAGCTGTAGTTTTCGTGCGGTTGCGGTATTAACTAGACTGTGGCTTGCTCCTCCGTCGATAAAAACCTTCACTACTGCTCCCTGTATTTTCCCGTGGATCAGTACTGGGCAATCCGTCGCTGTACCCTCCTTATTCATCCGAGCCCGATCGATGGCGTGAATCGGTACTGTGACTCGGTGAGGGTCGGTGTGGTTGGGCGAGCAGGCAGTCTCGTCAGTAGTTGGCCCAACTTCTACTGACTGCTGGCGTTTCCCTGCCTCCGAGACTCCCCCCCCTGCTCTGCTCCGCGGCGCCTTAGCTCCTCTGGGCATTCGCTCTTGCGATGGCCCGGCCTGTTGCAAGCAAAGCAGCGCCCCTTAAACGGTGCGGCAGCTGCATTCGTTGCAACAGCGTTTACAGTGGTGTGCTCGATCGGTCCCCGAGGACGATGTCCGTAGTAGGACCTCGGTCTCGGTCGACGTAGAATGTCGATTTTCTCGGCGAGCGCGAGAATCTCGTTGAAGTTCGAGAGTCCGCGCAGCATGATTTCGTGCGAGATATCTGGCTTCAGCCCTCCGACGTAACGGTCCACCCGCTCTGCTTCGTGCATGTAGCCGACCTGCTCGCAAAGTGCGAGAAAACCGCTCGTGTAATCTTGAACCGACCCGAGCTGCCGCCAAGTGCGCAATCTCTGACGCGCTGAAATAGAAGCCGCGATCGGCTCGAAGCGCGCCCGAAGCCCTGCGCACCACGCATCCCACGTGCTGTATTGGGCGGTCTCGCAGAATGAACTCCAGGTGACAGCTGGACCCGTGGGCCCTTCCTCTTGCGACGGTGGCTCGTAGGCGCGTGGCGACGTCACGATGACTCGCCACCAGTCCATGGCGGGGCCCCTTAACAGCGAAACGGCATACCGAATCTTCGCTGCGTCCGACTCGACGTAATTCGCGTCGAAGAAGACGTTCATCGTGAAAACCCACGATTGAACCGTCGGACCTCCACGTTGGCTTGGGTCGAAGCAGGGCGGGCGTTGCGGCTTGAGTGGCATGGGTGCCATAATGGCCTGTTCGCCACTTGTCGCCGCGAACTCCACGTGCCGACGGGCTTCACGAGGCTCCCGCGGGCTTGGTGCGACCCTGTTTCCTCCCATGCCAGGCATCGGCTGGGCGGCGCCATCACTGGCTGCGCCTGAGCGCTGTCCCACGCTGTCGTGTTGCGTTGGTGTGCCGGACGAAATGACGATCGGCTCGTCCGATCGTGCAGATGCATTTGTCGGTGTGTGTGATGGCGCTGGAATGTTCACCGTGGATTGCTGACGTGCGGAGTCACGTTCCGCCGTGAGCGTCGCAATTTCGAGCGCCGAATCTTCAAGTTGGCGCACCAGACGGTCAAGCTGCTCCTGCGTCAATGTGGCGAGCGTGAATTCGGCCATGGCGGGGGTGTCGGGCGAGCTCAGCGAGAGCCTCGGTCGTGGCCGTGCGTGCTTACGAGAGAGCACTACGAGCGGCGGTGCTGTGTCGCTGAGAGACGTCTACCCCCCCCCAAAAAATTGAGATAGTGGGGAAGCGAAGGTGTGGGTGCGGTCCGAGAGGAGATCGTAGGCTCTGATACCAAGTGTTACGAGTGCAATTGAGTGAACGAACGAGAATTGCACTATCGAAGCAAGAGTACAATGAGCGAAGGCATGAGCGAAGAATATATAGCGAAACTACAGTGGTAACGGTAATGGACTGTGGTTGTCGCGCGACGGGCCTGGGACTGAGGTTGGGAAAAGTGTCGAAGCGGAGGCCCGGAGCGCGGGTTACCCGCCGAGCCGTGAGGTCGGGGTGCGACGTGCGAAGGTGGCGGGCGGATTGTCGATGCGAGGATTGCGAGTGGTAACGGTGCTGACTGTGGTGCTACAGTGATGTATGCGTTGAGCAGGGACGCGAAGTAAGGAAAAAGAGATTTTCCTTACAAGAAAGCAGTATGTTCATGATAAGGCTGTTCTCAACCGATTTACAGATGTTTAGATTTTGTGGTTATCAACGCGTAACTTGTCCGTCTTGCGTATTATCCTGGGATTTTCTTCGCTTGCCCCCCAGGTATCGCTATCTCCCAGTTATCGAAGGATGAGACAGGTTTTACGCGGTAACCAGCTTGTGCAATCGGGCAATCTTCAGCCCTGACGGGAAATTTGCGAAAGTTTCGGACGTGAAATTCCAGCGGATATGCGAACTCGAGCGAAAGATCCTACTCTCGACAAAACCTTGATGTTGGATGGATCAGCTGGGGTTTCGTACTGGGCTGAGCCATCTGCTTTTTCCTGTTTCAGGCTTTTTCCTGTGATAGCGCTGGCTCTTTGCCAGTAACTCGGCGGCTAGATCTGGTGGGGAGCAGTCACAAGAAGGGAGACAGAGACGGCACAGCGGAGCAGCTAGGCAGCTGCTGAGATTGGCGCTTTCCTGATCCTGCTTGCTCGCCGCTGCCATGTAGTGAGTAATTCGTCCTGTGCTTTGTCGGACCAATACTCCCTGCGGATATGCATGTGACCAGAGCTTTATACTTTCTATATGTTCCAAAAGCTGTTTTTGCATGTCCAAAATCGTATTTAGTGCCATAGTTTACCACGATCTCGTGCAATTTGTGGTTCCTTACAAGAGATTGCCTCAGTTGCCTGTGGTCTAGCAGAGAGGCATGAGATTCTCGTGAATGCAATGGTACTGATTGCTGTCGAATCGCTTTTATCTGTTGGTTATGTGGGATCGTTTTTGCGTCTTGATTCATGTTGTATGGTTGTTGCTTCTTCGTTTGTATGAAATTGTTGCTGTGGTCAGTCGGTCCGGCGGCTCACGTTATGGAGGCGATTACAGGGGAGGTGACTATAGGGGAGGCGACTACAGGGGAGGTGGAGGCGGGTACCAGACTTCCGCTCGGCTTTACGTTGGTCGTCTCTCCACGCGGACTCGCACTCGAGATCTCGAGTCGCTTTTCGGGAAATACGGAAGGTAAGTTCTGTGTCAAACCTGATGCACCTTGTCTTATTACTGATGAAATGGTTCCGATGAGACCGTTGACCCTTGAAGTCTCAAATCATAAGGTCATTGACCGGGGATCATCTATTTGCTAACGTCCCTTGCACATCCTTAACTTTCATGCTCAAGGTCGTTGAACCATACGGACGTTGAACCATACGGACGTTGAACTATACAGACGTTGACCCATACGGACCTTGACCGCTAACCTCCCTTGCACATCCTTCATTCTCATGCTCATGGTGACCATGACCTAGACTCCCTTCTCTCCAATCTACATCCACGACCCGATTGCTTTCCTTTATTCGCTCGTGCGGGGTGCGTTGTCGGGTTTTCGGCTGGCGGTCGGGTCGGTACTGTAGCTTCTGGTGAAATGCGCATCGGTTGAAACGCGAATCGGGTGAAACGTGGGGTGAAACGCGAATCGGGTGATGTTCACGCCGGGTGAAGCGCGCGTGGGTCGCCTCACAGTGCATGTCTCGCGCGATCTTGGTGCTTTCCCGGGTGCTTCACGGTCGCGGTGGTTGCGATCGGTTTTCGGTGTTTCCCGTTGCAACATCGGTTCCGTTCTTGCTGCAATTCGCTGCGATGATTTGGAAGCATTTGCGGACGAAAATCGCGTGAAGATGCTTTTCGCTTTCCGCGCGCGGGCTGATCGCCGTCGTATGCGCTTCGCGGGCGGTTTCGCGCGTTCTCGCGGGCTTCCGGGCTCTTGCGATCTTGCGTCATTGCGGGGACGCGTAGCGCTTATCGAGTCGATGCGTTTTAACGGGGATGTCGCTCGCGCGCGGGGTAAAGCGCGGGTTCGCGAGGTTGCGCGTGCGTGTTGGTTCGGACGGTTTTCAACGCAGCTTCGTGGGGCTTGTTCGACTCTTACAGTGCGGTATGGTGTGGTTTGGTGCGGTTTCGGTGCCTGCTTTAGTCTTTTGTTTGGGAGTTTGCTGGTGGGTGGGTGTGTTACGACTGTTGAAATGTTCTCCCCTCCTCAGCAGATGAAGCGGCGTCACCCATTTAAACTCCTGTTGTCTGTTGAGCTAGATCTGTTGCCGTCTATTGCTTCTCGCTCGCCCTGCCTTTTTAGTAAAACCTCTCTCGCTCTCCCTCCTTCCCCTCCCCTCCCTCCGGCTCGTTTTTTTCGTGTGTGTTCGCTTTCCTCCTTGTTTCTCCCCCTGTCTCTCTTGCATGCAGGATTCGTGACGTGGACATGAAGCGTGACTATGCGTTCATTGTGCGTAAAAACCTGGATATGAGGCTCTATTTTGATACTTGCGGTTTGTTTAGCATTCTCACAATGCCTTCCTGTTGATTTCTGACTCTGCTCTTCAAAACTCCTGTGGTAATTTTGTTGATGACCTTTGCAAATGACGCATACCCGGACCTCCACTCTTGCTTCCGCTCTCGTTAGCCCCCCCTCACTTTCGTCCCTTCCTTCCCGTCACTCTCCTGCATTTCTCCCCACTTCGCTCTCCGTTTTTTTGTTTTTTTGTTTGTTTGTTTGTTTGTTTGTTTGTTTTTTTTTTTTTTTTTTGCGTGAAGGCGTGGGGCACGTGTGGTTTAGATGAATACTGAATAGTTGCTGAGTCTGGGCGTTTTTGTTTTGTTCTCTTCCGTTCAGGAATTTAGCGACTCGAGGAACGCAAAAGACGCAGTGCACTCGTGAATATATATGCTCCCCCTCTTGACCCCATCCCCCCCTCTTTCCCCCCTTCCCCCCCCTTCCCTCTTCGTCCCCCTTGTGCTTGTTCGGTTCCGTACAGGAATTCAGCGACTCGAGGGATGCTGAAGATGCCGCCCATTATCTGAACGGCAAGGACGTGGACGGCAGCCACATCATCGTGGAGTTCACCCGCAGGGTACGTTGCTCTCCTGCTTGTAGCTGCAATGTAGGGGTGTGTGCTACGCGCCTCTATGATTGTGTTTGAACGGCAAGGACGTGGACGGCAGCCACATCATCGTGGAGTTCACTTGCAGGGTACGCTGGGTTTCTTCCCTGCAGCTGTCGTCTAGAGTTTTCACGCGCCTCTATGATCGTTCTTGCGCAACAGCAAGGACGTGGATGGCAGCCACATCATCGTGGAGTTCACTTGCAGGGTAAGTAAGGTCTCCTGTTTTGTGATGTCTCAATACAGGGTACGCTGGGTTGGCTGTCTTGCCTGAGCTGCCATCTAGGGTATTAACGCACCTTTATGAACGTTTCTGCGCAACCGCAAGGAGGTGGACGGCAGTCACATCATCGTGGAGTTCACTCGCCGGGTACGTTGCTTTGTTGCCTGTAGCTGCAATGTAGGGGTGTGTTCTACGTGCCTTCATAATCGTATCTGAATGTAAGGACGTGGACGGCAGTCACATCATCGTGGAGTTCACTCGTGGACGCATGTAGTGCGTTGGGTGTCTTGGCTGTAGATGCAGGTTCAAGGACAGAGTCCATTGCCACCAATCGTGCTGCTTTTGAGTCGACTCAAAAGAAGCACGAATGGTGGCAATGGACTCTGTTCTTGAATGACATCTACAAACCTATGTTCAAGTCGAGGCAACTGGCTGTAAATGTCATTTACGCGCAAAGCCGGTCGCATCCAGTCGTGCTTCATTTCAAACAGTATATGATTGGTGGTCTGATTTGTTTTGGTCTGATTCGACTAATCTGTATTGACTCCGTCCTGTCTCCTTGGGGCCAATGCTTCTTTCCACTTCCCACCCCTCCTCCTCCCCCCTTCCTCTTCCGCCCGTCCAACCACCAGGGTCCGCGCGGGCAGGGATTTGGGGGGCCGCCAGGTCCGCGCATGGGGGGGATGGGCATCACGCAGGGGCGCTGCTACAGCTGCGGCAAGGACGGCCACTGGGCGCGCGACTGCCCTCTGCGCCCCTTCTCTCCCTTCCGCCCGTTCTCCCCCCCTTCCCCACTGACCGCTTTTGCCAACCCGTCCCTCCCTCCTTCCAACCCCTCCCTTTCCCCCTCCGTCCCCCCCGACCCCCACCTCCCACCCCCTCCTCCCTGCCCGTTTCCTTCCCTCCAGGGTCCGCGTGGGCAGGGCTTTGGGGGTCCGCCGGGGCCGCGCATGGGGGGGATGGGCATCACGCAGGGGCGCTGCTACAACTGCGGCAAGGACGGCCACTGGGCGCGCGACTGCCGCAACGGCGATTGGGGCGGCAAGTGCTACCGGTGCGGCGAGCGCGGGCACATTGAGAGGGACTGCCGGAACAGCCCGGCTCAGAGGTGAGAGTTCTAAGGTGTCCTAGAGCAGGAATTGGGAGAAAAATTTAGAGGTGACTGGGGCAATCTGAGGCAAGGACGGCCACTGGGCGCGCGACTGCTGCCGCAACGGGGATTGGGTTGCAAGGGCTACGGGTGCGGCGAGTGCGGGCGGGCACATTAAGAGGGACTGCCGGAACAGCCCGGCTCAGAGGTGAGAGTTCTGAGATGTTTTTTGAAACAATATCTGGGAGGAGAATGGAGAGGTGCTACGTACAGTAGGGCAAGGACGGCCACTGAGTGCGCGACAGTCGGAATGGTGATTGGGGCGGCAAGTGCTACCGGTGCGGCGAGCGCGGGCACATTGAGAGGGACTGCCGGAACAGCCCGGCTCAGAGGTGAGAGTTCTAAGGTGTCCTAGAGCAGGAATTGGGAGAAAATTTTAGAGGTGACTGGGGCAATCTGAGGCAAGGACGGCCACTGGGTGCGCGACTGCCGCAACGGGGATTGGGGCGACAAGTGCTACCGGTGCGGCGAGCGTGGGCACATTGAGAGGGACTGCCGGAACAGCCTGGCTCAGAGGTGTGTTGGGTCTGTTGGGTTTCTCAGCTGTTGTGAGGGACTGCTGTAATGGGGACTGGGGCGGCAAGTGCTATCGGTGCGGGGAGCGCGGGCACATTCAGCGGGACTGCCGGAACAGCCCGGCTCAGAGGTGAGAGTTCTGAGATGTTTTTTGAAACAATATCTGGGAGGAGAATGGAGAGGTGCTATGTACAGTAGGGCAAGGACGGCCACTGAGTGCGCGACAGTCGGAATGGTGATTGGGGCGGCAAGTGCTACCGGTACGGCGAGTGCGGGCACATTGAGAGGGACTGCAGGAACAGCCCGGCTCAGAGGTGAGAGTTCTAAGGTGTCCTAGAGCAGGAATTGGGAGAAAATTTTAGAGGTGACTGGGGCAACCTGAGGCAAGGACAGCCACTGGGCGCACGACTGCTGCCGCAACGGGGATTGGGGCGGCAAGTGCTATTGGTGCGGCGAGCGCGGGCACATCGAGTGGTACTGCCGGAACACAGTCTGGGTTAGAGGTGCGCTGGGTGTGTGTTGGCCTGAGTATTTCATATGTTAGAGCTGTGTGGGACTGTTGCAAATGGTTACTGGGGTGCCAATCGCTACCGGTGTGGCGGGTGCAGGCACATCGAGAGGGACTGCAGGAACAGCCCTGCAGAGAGGTTTTCTTTGGATTGCTCTTTGTGGTGTAATCCCGGTGAAGGTATAGGCTTTTCTTAGAGTTCTCAAAAACATATGGTCTTCTCTCTGATTGCTTTCAGTCGTGTGAACCCGGTGCAGGTATCAGTTATTTAGTATTCTCAAAAGCACTCACGGTGTTTGCTTTCTGTCGTGTGAACCCGGTGCAGGTATCGGTTATTTAGTTTTCTCAAAAGCACTCACGGTGTTTGCTTTCTGTCGTGTGAACCCGGTGCAGGTATCGGTTATTTAGTTTTCTCAAAAGCACTCACGGTGTTTGCTTTCTGTTGTGTGAACCCGGTGCAGGTATCGGTCTCGCAGCCGCAGCCGCTCCCGCAGGTATCACGTTTGTTCTAAAACTTTCTTCTGGCCTCGTTTCTTTTTTTCCCAAGCCTTCTGCTTGTTCCCCTGTATCGCCGTGAAGCACTAATGGTCTTCTCGCACGGATGCTTGTTCATCACTTGTGCACCATATGTTAATCCCCCCGTTCGTGGGCTCTTTCTTTCTCCTGTAATTTGTCTCTCTCTCTCTCTTGCTCCTCCAACCAGCCCTCGCCGCGGGCGTGACCGGCGCAGCCGCAGCAACAGCAAGGACAGGGACGAGCGCAGCAAGAGCCGCAGCCGGAGCAGGAGCCGCAGCCGCAGCCGCAGCAACGACCGCGCCAAGGACCGCAGCAGGAGCAGGAGCAACGAGCGCGGGAAGGATCGGGAGAATGGGAAGAAGGCCGGAAGCCGCAGCCCCTCGCGCAGCCGCAGCCGCAGCAGGAGCGCGAGCAAGGAGAGGAGGAACAGCCGGAGCCCCAGTGCAGAGAAGAAGGAAGAGAAGAGTCCTAGGCGGAGCAGGAGTGCGAGTAAGGAGAGGAGCAAGAGCAGGAGTAAGAGCCCTGCCAGGAGGAGTGCTAGCCCTGCCAGGAGGAGTGCTAGTCCTGCCAGGAGGAGTGCTAGTCCTGCCAGGAGGAGTGCTAGTCCTGCCAGGAGGAGTGCTAGTCCTGCCAGGAGTGCTAGCCCTCGTGATGGTGGGTCACCTCAGAGGTCTCCGATGCAGGATGCAGATGGGGGAGGGAGCCCCGAGAGGAAGGGAGATGACGCAGGAAAGGATGGGGATGAGTAGATTTGGATATGCACTGGATGTTTTAGTTCACTGCAATCTTCAACTCTCAGAACTTAGTGCTGTTGAGAGCTTTTACTTCTTTTTTTTTACTCATAGTGTTTCGAATCAAGCACACACAGTGTTGTTGCCCCTTGACCTCGCGTCGGCTCGCCATGGGACCAGCAAGAGGTTAGGGTTGTGGTTCGGCTTTCATCCGTCACTGTGGTATGGTCAAGGAGCTGCGGAGATTGCAGCTTTCAAATGCGTTTCTTCGTATGATCACAGTGGAGTTCGCGTGAGTTTCGCTCAGTTTCAAGCAAGGAGGTCAGGGTACAGCCTGTAACCCTGTTTCGCTTCCCACGGTGTCAGTGTTGCACTGCTAAAGCTTGTCAGACGGACTTGCCGCACAAACCCCTTCCCGCCGTTTTGTGCTTGCTGAAACCGGCTCGACGATTCTTGGTTCTTAATTTTGCGTTTCTGTGATTGGTTCCGAACCAGCAGTCAGGCTCTTCAGACATTCGAAGCCTGGGGGTTACAGTATCAACTTCTGCTAGCTTCGTCAAGGACCTAGGGTGGGTGTGATGTGAATGCTACTCAGCCAAGTGGGGGCTGGGCGCGGCTCCCTGCGAGCTGGGCGCGGCTCCCTCTGCCCTCTTAAGAACCCGACTCAGCCTGAGTAAACCGATGCGAAACACGCTGAAACCCCTTCTCTCCCCTCCTTTTCCTGCGCCATCAACACTCCCTCTCCCCCATCCTCGTGAATCCCAGGGATCACCATATCTTGGTTTCATTTGGTTGGTTTTAGAGCGTTTTAGAAAGGTTGTAGGGGAAAACAGGCTCTCGTGCCAATTCCAAACCGAGTTCCCTCCACGTGCCTATCAGCTGCTGTCATATCAGAGTTTTGTCAGACAATGGCAGGATGACCGACCAAGCCAGGGACGAATCGCGCTGGTCTTTTCAGAAATCCTGCTGCTTTTGCGGTGTGTTTGGTCATCCAACGTCAGTTCCAGCTATAGCTGATCTGCTCGTTCACGTGTGTCTGCGTAATGCTAGCACGATTGCAGGGGATGCATCAGTAAGGTTCCTTCTGGTAATGTGATCCGTTTGTCCTCGTGTTCTGTAAGTCGTCGTTTCGTTGCGTCAAATCAACCAGGCATGGTCGAATTCGAATCGTGTTCTGTCGCTAGTACTTGGTGAAGGGTACTTTCAAGCATCAGCATCTAAATACAGATATAGTCTTCGCCCGCGCATGAGCTGCGTGCCTGATGTACAGAACACGACGGGGTTGCGACTATCGACGTTAGAGTTGTGCTCCTTGCTGATTCAATCTACACTCCAAGCTTGCCCGGGGAAATCTGAACGACGATTGCCTCAATTCATTCATAAAGACTCTAAAGGAGACTAACACAGAACAGTACATCTCTTTTCCTTTTTTTTGCGGTCAGTTTACTTTGCATTTGCGAGAAATCAAGAAAGCTCCCAATGAGGGGTTTGGTGCGCAGCGGTCTTTGGAGCACCGCCTTTGTCATCTCCTTCACCTCCGTCCTCTGGTTATTATCAAATTCGCTTCAAAGTAGCGAGATCGGGTACGACATCCCGGATACCGCCACGCTCGACGTGAATCCGATAGTGAGCCCTTCGTTACAAGATGTGAATCTTCAGCCGCGACCGGCGGGCTTGCAACGCAGTAGCGTGTCAGCTTCAAGCGGGGATGCTTTTCTGAGATCGGATCTGCACTCAGCAAGCAATGTGCGGACGCAGGAGGAGTTTTCACAGCAGTTTCCTTCTGAGAACTCCCAGGGTCCGAAGCCGCGAATCACTGGAAAATCTGAAGATCCGCAGCCGTTGATTCCTGGGAATGCGCAAGATCCAACGCAGAGGCTGCTTCACGGGATCGATGTGGTCGAGATGGAGGCTGAGGAAGATGAGACAATCGTAAAGAGGGAATCCATGGAAGATGGAACCAGGAAAGAGGTAGCAGCATCTGACCGGAGGTCTCTTTCATCAACTTCGTCTTTATCCGGAAATTCGAATTTCGGGGAGGGGAACGTGAATGTTCTACAATCGAATGTTCCCGTAGCGGAGAATTTGGTGTCCGACAGGAGAATATGCGGAGAGGGGCCGTTGAAGGTGTTTGTGTACGATCTGCATCAGAAGTTCAATTTCGGGCTGTTTCGACATAAGGAGCTCGAGAGCTTGCCTTTTAGCGCGGACGAAGCTCCTCAGCTGCGGTATCAGCGGAAGGCGAATGGAGGGGTGTCCGGACGAGGTTTCGAACACAGCGGCGAATATTTCATCGTCTACAACCTACTGGTAAGCATACACTGAGTTTTTTAATGAGTTGACTCAGAAGTCATCCTCAGCTGCGGTATCAGAGGAAGGCGAACGGAGGGGTGTCCGGACGGGGCTTCGAACATAGCGGCGAATATTTCATCGTTTATAACCTACTGGTGAGTGTACATTGCGACATTCTTCCGCCCTCCCCTTCCACGTTCTCCCCCTCACCCCCCCCACCGGTTCCCCTGGATTCGAACGCAGCGGCGAATATTTCATCGTTTATAACCTACTGGTGAGTGTACATGCCGTATCCCTCCTCTCTACACCCCCCCGTCCCCAAATCCCCACCTCACATCTCCCCCCAACCCCCCTACCTTCCCCCCAACACCCCTCCTTTCTCTTCCCGTGACCTTGCTCTCTACTCCCACGCCCCGATCTTCCCTCCCCCCGCTTCCCTTCTTCCCCTCCCTTCCCCTCTCGCCATCCCTGTTCGAATTCTCTATCGCGTACAACCTACTGTAAGACTTTTGAGACGTCTCAAAAGCCCCCCCCCTTCCCTTCCGCCCCTCCCTTGCCCTTTCGCCATCCCTGTTCGAATTCTCTATCGCGTACAACCTACTGTAAGCATACCCTGCCGGATTCCCCTTACCCAACCCCCCTTCGACACCAGCAGGAATCATGGCGACATGATAAGAGTAACGGGTCCCGCTGCAGCGGGACATGTGTTCTTCCCTCCAGCTAACCCCACATGTGCCCCCTGGACTTCCTCATTGCCTCCCTGTGCTCCCCTGTGCTTCCTTCTGCTCCCCTGTGCGTCCTTCTGCTCCCCTGTGCTTCCCCCCAGCTAACCCCACATGTGTCCCCTGTGCTTCCGCATTGCTTCCCTGTGCTTCCGCATTGCTTCCCTGTGCTCCCCTGTGCTTCCCTTCCCCGTGCTTCCTCCTGAGCAGGCGAACAGCCACAGCGACAGCAGTAGGAGCAACGGCGACATTGTAAGAGTAACGGATCCCGGTGCAGCGGGACATGCGTTCTTCCCCCCTGCTAACCCCACATGTGTCCCCTGTACTCCCTCATTGCCTCCCTGTGCTCCCCTGTGCTTCCCCTCCCTGTGCGTCCTTCTGCTCCCCTGCGCTTCCCCCCTGCTAACCCCACATGTGTCCCCTGTGCTTCCGCATTTCCTCCCTGTGCTTCTTTTTGAGCAGGCGAACAACCATACTGATAGCAGCAGGAGCAACGGCGACATCATAAGAGTAACGGATCCCGCTGCAGCGAATGTGTTCTTCATGCCCTGCTAACCCAACTGCGTGCTCTGTGCTTCCCTCTGCTGCCCCTTGCTCCTGAGCAGGCAAACAACCATACTGACAGCAGCAGGAGCAACGGCGACATTATAAGAGTAACGGATCCCGCTGCAGCGGATGTGTTCTTCGTGCCCTTCCTGGCGTCGCTCAGCTTCAACATCTTCACCACCAATGGCATGCGAGGCGCGCTGGCGGAAAAAGACAAGATCCTCCAGGTGCGTTGAATAAGGTTCGGTAGGTGTGTTTGGCTGGGCTATGTATTATTCTCTTGCTACTGACTTGGATTTTCTCGGTCTCAACATCTTCACCACCAATGGCATGAGGGCGCTCGCGGAAAATAGGAAAATCCTGCAGTTGCTTTGGGCAAGTCTTGGTAGGTGGAGCGTGAGGCGTGCTGTGCTGAGCTTGGGATTTGCGGCGGTGGCAGCGGTCGGGATGCAGGGAAGAGACTCACATCGTCTTGGTTTTGAGACGTCTCAAAAATATATTACTATCATGCGGAGCGTGGGGCGTGCTGGAACTTGGTATTTGCCGCAGTGGCAGCGGTCGGGATGCAGGGAAGAGACTCACATCGTCTTCATGCTGTCATGCTGCCATGCTGCCATGCTGCCATGCTGCCATGAGAAACGTTACCAACGCTTCCCTGTGACGCCGTCCTTCCTCTCTCATCGCTTTCGTCCCTCTCTGCAGGAGGAGCTGTGCGGCGTGTTAAAGGAATCCCCCTGGTGGCAGCGCTCGAGCGGCAGGGACCACAGCATCCCATGCTGCAGCCCAACGCTGCTGCAGCCTGTAGCGTACATCCCTGTCTTACATTTCCTGCTGTGTTCTCCCCCCACTGCAGGAGGAGCTGCGGGGCGTGTTAAAGGAATCCCCCTGGTGGCAGCGGACGGGCGGCAGGGACCACATCATCCCCATGCTGCAGCCCAACGCCATGTGGTCTCATCCTCTTTCTCTCTCCTTGCTTCTCATCCTCTCTCATCGCTTTCGTCCCTCTCTGCAGGAGGAGCTGTGCGGCGTGTTAAAGGAGTCCCCCTGGTGGCAGCGCTCGGGCGGCAGGGACCACAGCATCCCATGCTGCAGCCCTATTGGAGTGACTTTTGAGAATTCTCAAAAGTCCCCCTGGTGGCAGCGCTCGGGCGGGAGGGACCACAGCATCCCATGCTGCAAGAAGCCCAGCGCTGCTGCTGTTGCATGCATAATACATCCCCACCTCGCTGTCACTCCTCTGTTTTGTGCCGTCCTTCCCTCTCTACAGGAGGAGCTGTGGAGCGTGTTGAAGGAATCCTCCTGGTGGCAGCGGTCGGGCGGCAGGGATCACATCATCCCCATGCTGCAGCCCAACGCCCTTAACCGCTGCTGTCGTATACATCATACATCCCCATCACACTGTCACTCCTCTGCCGCTCCTCTGTGTTAGGAGGAGCTGTGGGGTGTGCTCAAAGAGTCCCCCTGGTGGCAGCAGTCGGGAGGCAGGGATCACATCATCCCCATGCTGCAAGAAGCCCAACGCTGCTGCTGTTGCACGCGTTCTCACTTTCGACTGCTGTGTTTCCGTCTGTCTCTGTTCGACAGGAGGAGCTGTGGAGCGTGCTCAAGGAGTCCCCCTGGTGGCAGCGGTCGGGCGGCAGGGATCACATCATCCCCATGCTGCAGCCCAACGCCCTTAACCGCTGCTGTCGTATACATCATACATCCCCATCACACTGTCACTCCTCTGCCGCTCCTCTGTGTTAGGAGGAGCTTTGGAGCGTGCTCAAAGAGTCCCCCTGGTGGCAGCGGTCGGGAGGCAGGGATCACATCATCCCCATGCTGCAGGAAGCCCAACGCTGCTGCTGCTGTCATACGCGCAGTACATCCCTCCTCACTGTCACTCCACTGTCCCTCCGTTGTCATTCGTCCCTAACAGGAGGAGCTGTGGAGTGTGCTCAAGGAATCCCCCTGGTGGCAGCGGTTGGGAGGCAGGGATCACATCATCCCCATGCTGCAGGAAGCCCAACGCTGCTGCTGTTGCACGCGTTCTCACTTTCGACTGCTGTGTTTCTGTCTGTCTCTGTTCGACAGGAGGAGCTGTGGAGCGTGCTCAAGGAGTCCCCCTGGTGGCAGCGGTCGGGCGGCAGGGATCACATCATCCCCATGCTGCAGCCCAATGCTCTTCGCCACATTCGCCAGCGCCTCGCCCCGGCCATGTTCCTGCTGCTCGACTTCGGCCGGTGGGTTTGATTGATGTCTTCTCTTTTGAGATTGAGTCATAGTTCACCTTGATTGAGTCTGCACTCTTGATGCGCTATATTCGCCAGCGCCTCGCCTCGGCCATGTTCCTGCTACTCGACTTTGGCCGGTGCGTCTCACTGCTGTTGGCTTTGATGCTTTTCTTGGCTTTGAGTCAAAAGTCTGATTGCATGTACTCTTGAGGCGCCACATTCACCAGCGCCTCGCCTCGGCCATGTTCCTTCTACTCGACTTTGGCCGGTGAGTTGCTTTGGTCTGCTCAGTTGGGTCTGAGTCAGGAGTCACTTCGAGTCTGCATGTACCTCTTGAGGAAGGGATCACATCATCCCCATGCTGCAGCCCAACGCCCTTCGCCACATCCGCCAGCGCCTCGCTCCGGCCATGTTCCTGCTGCTCGACTTCGGCCGGTGCGTCCCTTTACTGTCTCCTCCTTCAAGTCTCACTGGGTCGTTCTCTTGGGTCAGACAATGTCAGAAGTGTGTTCTGAGTCACTCGGGAGGCAGGGATCACATCATCCCCATGCTGCAGCCCAACGCGCTTCGCCACATCCGCCAGCGCCTCGCTCCGGCCATGTTCCTGCTGCTCGACTTCGGCCGGTGCGTCCCTTTACTGTCTCCTCCTTCAAGTCTCACTGGGTCGTTCTCTTGGGTCAGACAAAGTCAGAAGTGTGTTCTGAGTGACTCGGGAGGCAGGGATCACATCATCCCCATGCTGCAGCCCAACGTGCTTCGCCACATTCGCCAGCGCCTCGCCTCAGCCATGTTCCTGCTGCTTGACTTTGGCCGGTATGTACCATGTTGTGGCCCGTCTGAGCAAGGACACATATTTCTCTAATGCAGATACGCCCAAGGTGTGGCGCGGTTGAGCAAGGACATAGTGGTCCCGTACAACCACATAGCACCGCCTTACTTAGAGTGTGCGTTCCCCTACCATACCTTTCCCCCCAACCCAATGCAGGTGCGCCCAAGGCGTGGCCTGGCTGAGCAAGGACATAGTGGTCCCGTACAACCATATAGCACCGCCTTACACGGAGCCTGCGTTCTCTTGTGCTGCCACACAAACCCATTCCCCCAATGCAGGTACGCCCAAGGCGTAGCCCGTTTAAGCAAGGACATAGTGGTCCCCTACAACCACATAGCGCCGCCTTACACAGAGTTTGGAACCCTCCTTCCCTTGGTTCTTTTCTGCCCGCCCGCTTACCAGATACGCCCAAGGAGTAGCCCGGCTGAGCAAGGACATAGTGGTCCCCTACAACCACATAGCGCCGCCTTACACGGAGCCTGCGAGCTATGGGGAGGCGCAGGGGCCATGGGAGGCGCGAACCACACTGCTGTTCTTCCAAGGGACTATCATGCGGAAGGATGTGAGTGTGAGGGCGGTGAGAGAGAGCATGTTGAATGGGGCTGTATGGATGGGGAAAGGGTGTGGCATAGGAAGAGTTTGCGAGGTATGGGGAGGCACGAACGACGCTGCTGTTCTTCCAAGGGACCATCATGAGGAAGGATGTGAGTGTAACGGGAGGATGGGTGGGTGGGAGAGTAACTGATTGCAGAAACACATTGGGTACACATGTGGGTCGACAATGGGTAACATCACCTCGTGCATAGAGATTGACGTCAATATTCTCCTTGATTCTGTCTCACCTGCTCTCACCTGCTCTCACCTGCTCTCACCTGGTTTCATGTTTGGGAATGGCAATGGATCATGGCGTGATATGGCATGGCATTCTGTGGATACTCATGGCTACGGTATGGCATGGCATGGGATGCCATGGCATGTGTTACTTTTGTTTCCCCTGCATGGCATGGTGTGTTGCATTTCTTCCTGGCATGGTGTGTTGCATTTCTTCCTGGCACGGCTTGTCATGGCATGGCATGGTGTGTTGCTTTTTTATTACGGCATGGCATGGTGTGTTGCATTTCTTCCTGGAATGGTGTGTTGCATTTCTTCCTGGCATGGTGTGTTGCATTTCTTCCTGGCATGGTGTGTTGTATTTCTTCCTGGCATGGTGTGTTACATTTCTTCCTGGCATGGTGTGTTGCATTTCTTCCTGGTATGGCACGAGCAGGAGGGGTACATCCGCAAGCTCATCTTTGACATGTATCACAAGGAGCCGGACGTGAGGTTCGTTGAGAGCAAGATCACCGGTCCGCAAGACATCATCTCGGTATGGCTACCACATGCTGTGGTGTGGCATGGTGTAGTGTGGTACAGTGCGGTACGGCACGGTACGGTGCGGTATGGTATGGTATGGGGCTCGAGCAGGAGGGGTACATCCACAAACTCATCTTTGACATGTATCACAAGGAGCCGGACGTGAGGTTCGTTGAGAGCAAGATCACCGGTCCACAAGACATCATCTCGGTATGGCTGCTGCATGGTGTGGTGCAGAGTGGTGTGGTAAGGTACAGTGCGGGTGTTTGACACCATTGCCAGCAACTGCTATCTCAACCGAACCCAACATCCACCCTCCCATCATCCACCCTCCCCACCACCAGGCAGCAGAGGGGCTAATGAAGGCTCGCTTCTGTCTGAACGCGGCGGGAGACGCCCCTTCATCCGTATTCTCTCCTTACCTCCACTCTTTCCCTCCTTCCCGCCTTCCCTCTCCCTCCCCACCACCGCCTTCCCTCTTTCCCTCCTTCCCGCTTCTGTCTGAACGCGGCGGGAGACACGCCTTTGTCCGCCCGCCTCCTTGACGCCATCACCAGCCACTGCTTGCCCGTGCTGACCCTCTCTTCCCTCTCCTTAACTCTTCACAGGCAGAGGAGCGGCTGAGGAAATCCCGCTTCTGTCTCAACGCGGCGGGAGGCACCCCTTCATCCGCCCGCCTCTTTGACGCCATCGTCAGCCACTGCTTGCCGGTTCTCACTCCCTCCCTCCTTCCTTCCTCCCTTCCCTCCCTCCTTCCTTCCTCCCTTCCCTCCTTCCTTCCTTCCCTCCTTCCCTCCTTCCCTCCTTCCGGCCCTCTTATCTACTCTCCCAACCACCACCAGGCAGCAGAGGGTCTCAGAAGTTCCCGCTTCTGTCTCAACGCGGTGGGGGACACCCCTTCGTCTGCTCGCCTCTTTGATGCCATCACCAGCCACTGCGTGGCAGTGGTCACTCCCTCTCTCCCTCCTTCCCTCTCCCCACCACCACCAGGCAGTAGAGGGTCTCAGGAAGTCGCGCCTCTTTGATGCCATCACCAGCCACTGCGTGCCCGTGCTCACTCCCTTTCTTATTTCCTCCTTCCCTCCTCCTCCTCCTCCTCTCCCCGCCCTCCCTCCCTCACAGGCAGCAGAGGGGCTCAGAAACTCGCGCTTCTGTCTGAACGCAGCGGGAGACACGCCTTCGTCCGCCCGCCTCTTTGATGCCATCACCAGCCACTGCGTGCCCATGCGCACTCCCTCTCTCCCTCCTTCCCTCTCCCCTCCACCACCAGGCAGTAGAGGGTCTCAGGAAGTTGCGCCTCTTTGATGCCATCACCAGCCACTGCGTGTCCATGCTCACTCCCTTTCTTATTTCTTCCTTCCCTCTGTCCCTTCTTCCTCTCCCCTCCCTCCCTCACTCACAGGCAGCAGAGGGTCTCAGAAATTCCCGCTTCTGCCTGAATGCAGCGGGGGACACCCCTTCGTCTGCTCGCCTCTTTGACGCCATCACAAGCCACTGCGTGCCCGTGCTCACTCCCTCCTCTTCTCCACTTCTTTCCTTCCCTCCATCCTTCCCTCCCCTCTCTCCGTTCCCCCCCTTCACAGGCAGCAGAGGGGCTGCGAAACTCGCGCTTCTGTCTGAATGCAGCGGGGGACACCCCTTCGTCTGCTCGCCTCTTTGACGCCATCGTCAGCCACTGCGTGCCCGTGGTGATCAGCAACAAGATCGAGCTGCCCTTTGAGACGTCCATTGATTATTCCGACTTCACGCTCTTTGTCTCCCATGAGGTGAGTCTAATCATGCCTCGAAACTATGATATCTTTCAGTATAACGCCTTGTGTGGGTGAGAGGTGAGGTGCGTGCCATCGTCACTCACTGCGTGCCCGTGGTCATCAGCAACAAGATCGAGCTGCCCTTTGAGACGTCGATACACTAGTCTGACTTCACTCTCTTTGTCTCTCATGAGGTGAGTCCCGTGCCCCAAACCTAGTTGTGTGTCGGTGTGAAAGACCGTGTGTAGGTGGCACGAAGTGAGTGCCATGGCCAGCCACTCACTGCGTGCCCGTGGTGATCAGCAGCAAGATCGAGCTGCCCCTTGAGACGTCCATAGATTATTCCGACTTCACGCTCTTTGTCTCCCATGAGGTGAGTCGCTCTCTGTGTGACTTGGGTGTTACCCGGGTGTGTCTCGAGAGGTGAGTGCCAATCGGTCTCATCGCCATTGCCATTGCCAGCCACTCACTGCGTGCCCGTGGTGATCAGCAGCAAGATCGAGCTGCCCATTGAGACGTCCATAGACTACTCGGACTTCACTCTCTTTGTCTCTCATGAGGTGAGGCCCGTGCCCCAAACCTAGTTGTGTGTTTGTGTGAAAGACCGAGTGTAGGTGGCACGAGGTGAGTCCCGTGCCCCAAACCTAGTTGTGTGTTTGTGTGAAAGACCGAGTGTAGGTGGCACGAGGTGAGTCCCGTGCCCCAAACCTAGTTGTGTGTTTGTGTGAAAGACCGAGTGTAGGTGGCACGAGGTGAGTCCCGTGCCCCAAACCTAGTTGTGTGTCTGTGTGAAAGACCAAGTGTAGGTGGCACGAGGTGAGTCCCGTGCCCCAAACCTAGTTGTGTGTCTGTGTGAAAGACCAAGTGTAGGTGGCACGAGGTGAGTCCCGTGCCCCAAACCTAGTTGTGTGTTTGTGTGAAAGACCTAGTTGTACATCCGACCCCTATCCTCCCCTTACCCTCTCCCCATACCCTCTCCCCACCTACCTTCCCCCAGGACGCCCTGCGCCAGGGCTACCTGCTGCGCCTGCTGCGCTCATTCCCCAATCCTCTCCTTCCCTCTATGCATCATCTGTGCATCATCTATGCATCATCTATGCATCCACCCCACCTATTCCCCTCCTCCCTCTCCGCCTACCCACCACCCCCAGGACGCCCTGCGCCAGGGCTACCTGCTGTGCGCATTCCATGAGCCACTCCTTACCCCCTTGCCCCCTTGCTCTCTGTACCCCCTTCCCCCCTCTCAGGACGCCCTGCGCCAGGGCTACCTGCTGCGCGCATTCCCCAATGCTGTCCCTGCGCGCATTCCCCAATGCTGTCCCTGCGCGCATCCCCCACTCCCCCCACTCTCCCCTCCCCCAGGACGCCCTGCGCCAGGGCTACCTGCTGCGCCTGCTGCGCGCATTCCCCAGGGAGAGGTGGCTGCGCATGTGGCAGAACCTGCAGCACGTGAAGCACCACTTTGAATTCCAGGTGTGTAATGAAGTCCCCTGAAACACTTGTGTAGGCTGGTATTCGTCTGGTAGCGTGCTCACTCATTCCCCAGGGAGAGGTGGCTTCGCATGTGGCAGACCCTGCAGCGAGTGAAGCACCACTTTGAGTTCCAGGTGCGTCATGAAGTCCCCTGAAACACTTGTGTAGGCTGGTAGACTCGTATCCCTCAGGTAGACGTGCTTGCTCATTCCCCAGGGAGAGGTGGCTGCGCATGTGGCAGAACCTGCAGCGCGTGAAGCGCCAATTCGAGTTCCAGGTGGGGTTTCAAGTGCCCCTCCCTTCCCATTATCCAAAACACCCGTTTCCCACTCCTCCTCTATTCCCCCTTCCCCCCTCCCCCCTTCCCCCCTACCCCTCGCTCCAACGCCATCTCATTCCACAGTACCCATCGCAACCAGGTGACGCAGTCAGCATGGTGTGGAGGGAAATCCGCAAGAAGCTTCCTCGCATGCGGTTGGCAATCCACCGGGGGAAGCGGCTAGTGGTGCGCGATTGGACCAATGTGTGAACTTTATGGGATAGCCCCTATAAGGGGTAGGTAAACCCGACAATTGTAGAATGTGTAGTGTAGAAATACATGTTTTGAAGATAGGGAGATGACATGTTGTGTTGTATGCATGCCTGGACAGACAAAACTCGAGCAAAGCTAGCGTGGGTTACGAAGCGTATTGTAGCAATGTCACTAATTCCTAATGGAATGAGTATTGGTGGTTTTAGGTACTACTGCCAAGTCTCTGGATTAATGTGGTGGAGTTGTTTGTGTATACCAATGGGTGGGCTGCAAATGCAACAGACTCATGGGCAGCGTATACGTGTCTCAGTCCAATCCAGACCTGAGTTACCGCTCACAATGCAATAGCTCTATCCCCTGAGTTGCATGTTGATATTCAAATTCCGTTGTTGTGTTCTCCTGACGTGTACTGTGCCTTTCCAACCTTTTATCAGGTTTGGCTGTATCATCCATGCTAACGGTATTCTGGTTAGATGCACAATCAAGGCTAAGTTGAGCTGGTACGTGCTGCATAACATCAGTAGAGAAACCCAATGGAACACTGTGTGGTCACTGCTCAACCTCTACCAGTAAAAATTGAAAATTTCATGGATGCGCATTAGCTGAAAGTGGTAGTGACAGGGAAAAAAATCCTTCATCCGCGCCAGCTAGGGGTCGAACCTAGGACTTTTCGCTTAGGAAGCGAACACTCTATCCACTGAGTTACAGGCGCACGTTTTGTTAGAATTATATATTAAAGAATTAAATGTGTCACACATTCCCCGTTCAATTTGGTGTCATCTAGTGTATGCTTTATCAATTTGACTCCAAAAAGTACAGTTACAGCACATTGACTGAGTGCCAAGCGTGAAAACCAAAAAATGATCAACTACTGGTATGCAATGCACATCAATGCGTAGTCACCCAGGCTCCCTTGTATGTATGGAGATGGCTTTTAGGGATAAGCCAGAGTTTAGGGTGACCTGACCTGAACCCTTGTCCTCTAGGTCACTCAAAAGTGCCACTTGACTGAGTCGACTCAAAAGTGACAAGTCAACTCAAACGTGGCAATTTAGTAAACTCAGACGTGTTAGTCACCCAGGCTCCCTTGTCTGTATGGAGACGCCTTGCGGGATAAGCCACTACCAGACCCCTTCTCCTCAGGGTCACTCAAAAGCACCACTACCAGACCAGACCCCTTCTCACCCCCTCTCTCACTCCCCTTCTCTCCTGCAGCGCGTTAGTCACCCAGGTTCCCTTGTCTGTATGGAGACGCCTTGCGGGCTAAGCCACTGCCAGACCCCTTCTCACTCCCTCTCTCACTCCCCTTCTCCCCTGCCGCTCCTGTAGCTGCCTCGCCAGGTGTCAGCCCACGAGTGGACGGGGAGCTGCCGTGAATCAAATCTTCCTTCTGCCGGATTAATAACACGGATGAGGGGTGGGGGGTGGGGGGAGGAGGGGCCGAGAGGGAGGATGGTGAAATGTGGTGAAGGAAAAATCTTTCTTGATCGACAAAGCAATAAGCAAACCACATCAAGGTTAGCAGGCCCTGGCATGCAATACGGTACCATGCGTCGGGTTACCAAACCTCACCTCCAGATCCGGTAAGGAAATACCTTGTCAGCCGTAATACCGTACCTTGTCAGCAGGTATGGCAGTTCGAGCTGGTGTGGAAGCAGGCTCGGCTTTGAGTGACGATTCCACCTTGGGCTTCACGGGCGGGCGGGCAGTGGGGGGGCGACTGCATTGGGGAGAGGGGGGGAATGGGAGAAGGGGGCTTGCTACGTATTGAAGGGACGAACAAGCAGAATTGCAGCAGGTTCGGTTTTGAGTGACGATTCCACCTTCGGCTTGACGGGCGGGCGGGCAGTGGGGGGACGACTGCAAGTGGGAGAGGGGAAGGAAAGGGGGACGGAAGGGGCTTGTTGAAGGGACGAACAGGCAGGGAGGCAGGCTTTGCTTTGACAGACGATTCCACCTTGGGCTTGCCGGGTGGGCGAGCAGTGGGGTGATGACTGGAGGGGGAAGAGTGGTCGGATGGGAGATGGGGGTTTGTTGTGCATCGAATGGGCAAGAAGACAATAACGCAGGCTCTACTTTCAGTGGTCACTCCAACTTGCGCATAACAGGTGGGCAAACAGTTGGGCGCGACTAAACCTGCACCCATAAAAACCCCCAGCAAGCACTCACCCTGGCACTGGCACTCATCCCACACAGCACTCACCCTGAAGCCTCGGGTAGAGGTCGCTTCTTCCCCTCCCCTGTCACAGCCCCTCCAACCCCACCCCCTGCTGCTCCTCCAGCCCCACCTATTCCTCCTGCTGCTGCTGCGCCCTTGCCTCCCCCGCTCTTCCCTTCTTCCTTCACGGCAGCTGCTGCTGGTCCTTCCAGCACTGCAGGCGCATCTCCATCCGCCTCCCTGTCCTCTGGCCGAGTATCAGGCTCCTCCTCCTCCTGACATGGATAGACGGGAGGGGAAGAGGCAGGGAAAAATATGATATCACACCCACACCCAGCCCTCCCTCCCTCCTTCACGGCAGCTGCTGCTGGCCCTTCTGGTGCACCAATGGTTAAGGGAACGCACAACTGGTGCATCTCCATCCACCTCCCTGTCTTCTAAGAGAATTTGTAGATTACCTTGGCAGGTAATTGTATTAGTGTGACTTCTGAGAATTCTCAAACGAAATTGTAAATTACCTTGTCAGGTGATTGTATTAGTGTGACTTTTGAAAATTCTCAAACGAATTTGTAGATTACCTTGTCAGGTGATTGCGTTGCGTGTAGGGGGGAACGGGCGTGGAAGGGCGCACTGAGTCGGTTTTTGAGTCGACTCAAAATCTGAATTTGTAGATTACCTTGTCAGGTAATTGCGTGTAGGGGGGAACGGGCGTGGAAGGGCGCACGGGGAGCGTGCTGAAAGTGCTCTGCTCTGCTCTGCTCGTGTCTTTTGAGACGTCTCAATAGTCGTGTCGGGTTTTTGAGCTGTCTATAAGAGAACGTGGATCACATTATCAGGTAGACCGTGGTTGTGTGTCCCGGTATCCACAACGCTAAGAGAGAATGTGAATTACCTCGTCAGGTAGTTGCGTATCAGGGGCACGCGTGTGAAAGGGCACACTGGGAGCCTGCTGCAAGTGCTCTGCTTGTGCTGGGGGATTGAGACGTCGAAGAAAGTGATTGTCGGTTACCTCGTCGGGTAATTGTGTGTTGAGGGTACGCGTGTGGAAGGGCACACTGGGCGCATGCTGCAAGTGCTCTGCTCTTGCCGGGCTTTTTGCAGGGTCTGAGAAAGAATGCAACTCACCTCGTCGGGTAGTTGCGTGTCAGGGGCACGCGTGTGAAAGGGCACACTGGGTGCATGCTGCAGCTTTGATAGATTCTCCAGCAGGCGAGTTCTGAGTAGCGAGGGTGATGAAGAGGGGGAAAGAGGGAGGGAGCGGGAGAGAAAGAGATAAGAGGAAGAGATGCAAGGGAATGGACACACTGGGAGCGTGCTGCAACTTTGAAAGATTCTCCAGCAGGCGAGTTCTGAAAGGCAGGGAAGGGGGAAAGGGAAAGGAGGAAGGGAGGATGAACGGAAATGACAAACGCTACAGCACAGCGTGAATGAACAGGCGAGTGTCAAGAGTGGGTACGGGTGTGGAAGGGCGAGTGCTGCGCGTGGGGGCGTGCGGAAGAAGGGAGGGGAGCAGCAGTTTTAGATTGCTGCTCGCCTAACTTCATGGCTGAAGGTACGGGTGTGGAAGGGCGAGTGCTGCGCGTGGGGGCGTGCGGAAGCAGGGGAGGGGGCACGCTGGGAGCGTGCCGCAACTCAATACTCTTTGTAGGAAGAGAGAGGGAGAGCAAGACGGAGTAAAAGATAGAGAGAGAGGAGACGATGCAAGAATGGGAGGGGAGGGGGCACGCTGGGAGCGTGCCGCAACTCATTTCTCAAGAACGCGAGTGCTGGGTGTGATACAATGTAGGGACTGGTGGCACTGGGAGGGTGTGGGAGCAATAGCTCACACCTTAGACCAACGACAGGGATGCAGGACTCACCGCACAGAGTCTAAATACGCCCTCGAGTTCAGGTTCTCCATGTTGCTGGGCGTGATGTGGTGGTGAAGGGTGTGCTACTACCACCGTGCATGCATGAAGCAGCAACAAGGCACACGACTCACCGCACTGAGTCTAAATACGCCCTCGAGTTCAGGTTCTCCATGTTGCTGGGCGTGATGTGGTGGTGAAGGGTGTGCTACTACCACCGTGCATGCATGAAGCAGCAACAAGGCACACGACTCACCGCACAGAGTCTAAATACGCCCTCGAGTTCAGGTTCTCCATGTTGCTGGGCGTGATGTGGTGGTGAAGGGTGTGCTACTACCACCGTGCATGCATGAAGCAGCAACAAGGCACACGACTCACCGCACTGAGTCTAAATACGCCCTCGAGTTCTGGTTCTCCATGTTGCTGGGCGTGATGTGCAGCGTGTAATCCGGGCCGAAATACTCGTAGTAATCGTTGAAAGGCATTCGGTCTTCCAACTCCAACCCCACCGCTACTCCCGTCTGTTCGGGCGGACGGGGAGGAAGGAGGGAGGAGAAAGACGGAGGGACGAGGGAGGACATAGGGAGGGAAGACGGGGTGCGAGGTTGCGGTGTGACATGCAGCGTGTAATCCGGGCCGAACTACTCGTAGTAGTCGTTGAAAGGCATTCGGTCTTCCAGCTCCAACCCCACCGCCACTCCCGTCTGTTCGGGCGGACGGGGAGGAAGGAGGGAGGAGAAAGACGGAGGGACGAGGGAGGACATAGGGAGGGAAGAGGGGGTGCGAGGTTGCGGTGTGACATGCAGCGTGTAATCCGGGCCGAACTACTCGTAGTAGTCGTTGAAAGGCATTCGGTCTTCCAGCTCCAACCCCACCGCCACTCCCGTCTGTTCTGATGCGCAGGGAAGGAACAATGAACGGAGAAGGAAGGAACGCGGTGGTGTGATGTGCAGGGTATAGTCCGGGCCAAAATACTCGTAGTAGTCGTTGAA